TGCGAGCCTCCACCATCAAGCTTCTGGACACCTACCAGAAGTGCGGCCTCAAGCGCAAGAGCGAAGAGCTGGACAACGTAACTCACCTCGACACCTCACATCACAACGCCAGTGGCAATACCGTAACCACGACCACCACGAATTCCTCAAAGAATAGCTCCTCGAACAATGAGGGTGACTACAACTTGGTGCAACATGAAGTGATTTGTTCCCTGACCAATCGGTACGAAGTGCTGGAGTTCCTAGGACGCGGGACGTTCGGGCAGGTGGTAAAATGTTGGAAGCGGGGAACAAACGAGATTGTTGCGATCAAGATCCTGAAGAATCACCCGTCGTATGCGCGGCAGGGGCAGATCGAGGTTAGCATCCTGGCGAGGTTGAGTGCGGAGAATGCAGACGAGTTCAACTTTGTGCGGGCGTACGAGTGCTTCCAGCACAAGAACCACACATGCCTGGTCTTCGAGATGCTGGAACAGAACCTGTACGACTTCCTCAAACAGAGCAAGTTCAGCCCGATGCCGCTCAAGTACATCCGTCCCGTCCTGCAGCAGGTTCTCACTGCCCTCCTCAAACTCAAGAGCCTGGGCCTCATCCACGCCGACCTCAAGCCAGAGAACATCATGTTGGTGGACCCCGTGCGGCAGCCGTACAGAGTCAAGGTCATCGACTTTGGCTCGGCCAGTCACGTTTCCAAGGCGGTGTGTTCCACGTATCTGCAGTCCAGATATTACAGGTGAGACATTTTAATTCACTTTCACTAATGAAGTATAAGATATGTGTAAAGCACTCTGAAGGTAAAATGCCCTAGCTGCCTCTAATCTCCCATGGTGATAGGATGTAGGTTTGATGCAGGAAGCTGATAACTTGTTTGCCTCTATCACCTGCGTCATCACACTCTCCTGGTACACACCTTCCTCCTGAGAGCAGTGGGGGTTGATATAAGTAAGCTAAGTATGAATTTAATTACCAAAGCCCCTCATTTGTCATGCTTAACAATTTTAATGCATACACATTTGTACGAGACATTCTTAAATGTTTTCCATTTGATTTGGAAAAAATTGGCCCTTTTTTACATTATAAAGAATGTGCAGCTTGTTAGCTTTATTGATCTTTGCTATGAAGTTGGTTTCCGAAAAACAATCATTATAAAGTTGAAGGGGGCGTACCCATTGTCCTGGGGGGTATGTAGCTCAAGGGCAATAATTGGGAGATGCCTTTAGCAAAGGCCAACTACCTCACCCCTTCCGGTATGCCTGTTACATTCCTTATGTGGGTTCTTGATTATGCAAGTGAGATCCCTGGTGCAGCACCTTACAAAGCTGCTAGGGGATCCATAATCTAATCATTTCTTCATGTTGCCAGCACATACCAACAGACCGAATATCATAAAATTCCATCCTCAACTTTTCAAGTTACTAAAACTTACATATATACTTTTCACAAACAGACACTCTGACCCCAAAATATAACCTCGGAGAAGGTAGTAAATAATTGGGAACAAAAACATGAGATGCATACTGTTTGTTCTTCCAAGTGTGAGCAGGGTTCGATCTAAACCTTTCTGCCCATGTTTGCGTGAATGGGTTACAGAGTAGGCCTGTGGCAGGGTGAATACCCTGGAACTAGGCTGACGTGATACAGGCGCTCCGCTAGGTTACTATGTGACCTTGCTTTATATAGTCCCCGGTATGCCTGTTGCTTATTTTTAAACAGTAGTTCTAGGAAAAGGTTGGATCCTTGTTAGCAAGTTCATGGAAATATCCTTGTTTATACATCGTCAGCTTGCAATTGCAGTAAACACAGTATTTCCCTTTTCTCAATTCCTGGAGGCAGTTGGTAGCTCCGTGTTTTGTGCAAATGATACAGATTCCTGTTGTTTAATTTGAAGAACAACTGTACTTCAAATTAATACACAGAAATGCAGCTTTGATTATATAAAAAAGAAAAAAAATGTATCACCGGTAAACTAAAAGCATGCGGACTCATGCTGTATGCTGCAGTGTCCCTGAAGCAGTAGACACAGTTTTGGACCCATGTCTCATAGGACTATGATGTTTATTTTGGAATCATTAGTACTTCCACTTCCATGTATTCTAAGAAATCAGCTCACTAGGTACTATGTAGTCTTCAGTAGGAAACAACATCAAATTGTTTTGTCTCAACCATGATTTTGGTAGTGATGTAGGAACTTTTTTGGTTGTGTCAATAAAGTTCTCTGTTCTTGCCATTCGAAATTCATGGATAAGTGAACGATCTTCTGCTTCTTATCACCTCAATTTTTGTCACCTCAGTACGGAGACTGCCTGGAGAATTCTGTGAAAATACAATCTACTGACAACAACATGTTGAGAAATACACTTTTTATGCCTCTGTCAGTGGCATTTATATGGAAAATAAAACTGGTATTTTGTTTCAAGAATCCATAATCCATTGATATTCCAGACGGGCTCTGCTTCATTTTAATGATTTTACATATTTATGTCACAAATCAGTTTGCTAACAGTCATGTTGGAATTCTGAACCAGGCATTTTTTTTGGACAAAGATGTAGGAACAATTTGCTTGCTGGACTTGCTACCAAGATGCTAAAAGCTGTAATACATCAGACTTAAAATAGGTCAATGGCTTACATGGGAGGAACACTGTGTGGCCCCCTGACTGTAATAGTACTGTAATCCCCAGGTCCTCTCTCTTGTACATAATCAGGCCATGGTGATTAGTTCTTCCCCTGTCATTAGTGCAGGCTCATCCTGGGAATTGAAGCCCTTTTTCACCCCTTTGATTGA